CCCTCGTGAAGTTATCCGTAAATCAGTCGCCAAGACTCGTGACTTCCAAACTGAATTCATTCTTGACAGAAACTAAGTCCTTCCTCGCCACTCGTAAATGACTGTCTACATATTGGCCGACGTCAAACCTTCAAAATACTTGTGTCCCTAGTTTGGTGATCTACCTTCAGTTGTTGGCGATCTATAACCAATTTTTATATTGTATTGTCCAAATAGTGCTATTAGTTTTAATTTTCCACACTAGTTTTAGTTGTAATTGTGATATTCTAGTTGTTTTACTGTCCTTCGTCGACAGGTTTTTTATAATTAATATGTATTCCATTTCAATGTCACATATGTTCTCGTCACGATATGGCTGAAATATTGCCGATGTGACGTTAATAATAACTCACTCACTCACTCAATATACTTGTAATGTTCCACTTCCGTTGTACCGGGTAATATTCCAGACCATCTAAACTGGGTTACGTTCAACACCCAATATAATGGGTAACATAAACACCTCTGTCATATTGGGTAATGAAAAGCCTGACAGATACCTTGTGGTCGGCATTGTGACACCTCCCATATCCCGGATAAAATTAAACTTGCTCTAAGTTAAGGTTGGGGCTCGAATGTTTTCGCTTATTATTACAGGTTACTGGATAACATCCCGTCATAACGTAAGAGCCATAATACAGAAGGTTATTGGATAATGTCACGACTCTGTTACTCTTGGTAGCGTTTTATCCCCAATACAGAAGGTTACTGGATAATGGCACGTCTCTGTTACTCTAGGTAGCGTTTTATCCCCAATACAGAAGGTTATTGGATAATGTCACGACTCTGTTACTCTAGGTAGCGTTTTATCCCCAATACAGAAGGTTATTGGATAATGTCACGACTCTGTTACTCTAGGTAGCGTTTTATCCCCAATACAGAAGGTTACTGGATAATGGCACATGTCTTTTACTCTAGGTAGCGTTTTATCCCCAATACAGTAGGTTACTGGATAATGGCACATCTCTTTTACTCTAGGTAGCGTTTTATCCCCAATACAGAAGGTTACTGCATAATGGCACGTCTCTGTTACTCTAGGTAGCGTTTTATCCCCAATACAGTAGGTTACTGGATAATGGCATGTCTCTGTTACTCTAGGTAGCGTTTTACCCCCAATACAGAAGGTTACTGGTATATGGCACATTTCTTTTACTCTAGGTAGCGTTTTATCCCCAATACAGTAGGTTACTGGATAATGGCACGTCTCTGTTACTCTAGGTAGCGTTTTATCCCCAATACAGTAGGTTACTGGATAATGACACGTCTCTGTTACTCTAGGTAGCGTTTTATCCCCAATACAGTAGGTTACTGGATAATGACACGTCTCTGTTACTCTTGGTAGCGTTTTATCCCCATTACAGAAGGTTACTAGATAATGGCACATCTCTTTTACTCTAGGTAGCGTTTTATCCCCAATACAGTAGGTTACTGGATAATGGCACATCTCTTTTACTCTAGGTAGCGTTTTATCCCCAATACAGTAGGTTACTGGATAATGGCACGTCTCTGTTACTCTAGGTAGCGTTTTATCCCCAGTACAGAAGGTTACTGGATAATGGCACATCTCTTTTACTCTAGGTAGCGTTTTATCCCCAATACAGTAGGTTACTGGATAATGGCACATCTCTTTTACTCTAGGTAGCGTTTTATCCCCAATACAGTAGGTTACTGGATAATGGCACATCTCTGTTACTATAGGTAGCGTTTTATCCCCAATACAGTAGGTTACTGGATAATGACACGTCTCTGTTACTCTAGGTAGCGTTTTATCCCCAATACAGTAGGTTACTGGATAATGGCATGTCTCTGTTACTCTAGGTAGCGTTTTATCCCCAATACAGTAGGTTACTGGATAATGGCACGTCTCTGTTACTCTAGGTAGCGTTTTATCCCCAATACAGTAGGTTACTGGATAATGACACGTCTCTGTTACTCTTGGTAGCGTTTTATCCCCAATACAGTAGGTTACTGGATAATGGCACGACTCTGCTACCCTAGGTAGCGTTTTATCCCCAGTACAGTAGGTTACTGGATAATGTCACGCCCCCACTACTCTAGGTAACGTTATGTTCCTATTACAGCAGGTTACTGGATGATGTCACGCCCCCACTACTCTAGGTAACGTTATGTTCCTATTACAGCAGACTACTGGATAATAGCACGCCTCCACTACTCTAGGTAGCGTTATGTTCCTATTACAGCAGGTTACTTGATAACGTCACGCCCCCCTCTATTCTAGGTTGCGTTAAGTTCATAATATAGCAGGTTACTGGATATTGTCACGCCCCCACTACTCTAGGTAGCGTTATGTTCCTAATACAGCAGGCTACTGGATAATGTCACCTCCCCCTCTATTCTAGGTTGCGTTAAGTTCATAATATAGCAGGTTACTGGATATTGTCACGCCCCCACTACTCTAGGTAGCGTTATGTTCCTAATACAGCAGGCTACTGGATAATGTCACCTCCCCCTCTATTCTAGGTTGCGTTAAGTTCATAATATAGCAGGCTACTGGATAATATCACGTCCCCCACTACTCTAGGTAGCGTTACGTTCCAAATACAGCAGGCTACTGGACAATGTCACACCTCCACTATTCTAGGTTGCGTTCAGTTCCAAGTACAGCAGGCTACTGGATAATGTCACCCCCACCCACCCACCCCATTTTTCTAGGTTGCGTCCAGTTCCAAATACAGCAGGCTTCTGGATAATGTGACACCCCAACTATTCTAGGTTGCGTTGAGTTCCTAATATAGCAGGTTACTGGATAATGTCACACCCCCACTATTCTAGGTTGCGTTCAGTTCCAAATACAGCAGGCTACTGGATAATGTCTTCCCCACACACACACACACACACACACTATTCTAGGGTTGCGTTCAGTTCCTAATACAGCTGGTTACTGGATAATGTCACGCCCCCCACTACTCTAGGTAGCGTTATCTTCCTAATACAGCAGGCTACTTGATAATGTCACGCCCCCCACTATTCTAGGTTGCGTTAAGTTCCTAATATATCAGGTAACTGGATAGTGTCACGTCCCCACTACTCTAGGTAGCGTTATGTTCCTAATACAGCAGGCTACTGGATAATGACACACACACACACACACACACACACACACACACACCCCACTACTCTAGGTAGCGTTATGTTCCAAATACAGCAGGTTACTGGATAATGTCACACCCCCACTATTCTAGGTTGCGTACAGTTCCAAATACAGCAGGTTACTACTCCAGGTAACGTTATATCCCCACTACATTAACCATAAACTCAACCCTTACATTAACCTGAAAACAGCAACAGTACTTGTGATCACTCACTACGTCTGTGGAAATTTCTTGGTTTGTATTGTCAGTGTCACTGTCAGTGAACACTCGATCAGTGGAGGCACAACACAGCCATAATCTGCACTAGTGTGTAGGCAACAATAACAACATTGTGTTTACAGATGTCATGAGATTTCACGCACCTGTGTTTTGATTGATAACGATATAGTAACACGGCATCTAAAAATTAATGCGCATGACATAATGTACCTCGCAATCATGGTTACCAAAGCGTTTGTTTTGATCTCGTCCACATAGTGTAATCTGAACACAGTAAAATTCTTCTTTTTCGTCAGAACAAAATACATGAAATGATGAAATCACCCATGGATGAAATACAAACTGTAATGATGAAATAAATTGGTTAAATAAATATATTGTGTTCGATTACGACAAAAACACTTTTTCACATCACCAGGAACATACTGCTGGTGATGTGTATATCGTCTCCTTGAGAACAGTGTTACAAAAGTACAATGACGAAGCGGGTAAGAATATATTGGATTACGCCTCCAGCAATGGTCCACCAAAATGTACGAAGTCCTGGATTGTCGAGGCAAACCAGTGATTAATATTATGATCAACGATATAGTGTCTGTGTATAACGACACACAACAGACTGCATCTGTTGATGCATTCGGATGCATCCCAACAGACCACGTACACTGTAGAAAATTCAGCATTCAGCACAACCGAGGACATAATTTATAAGAGCCGCTCTTCGGGCCCAGGTACTATTATCACTGTTCAGAGTTGTGTCACAGCCATGCCCACATCAGCATATCGTAGGTTCAAATCCCGTCTTCCTTCTGAGATGACCATTAATATTAACTGGATCTATTTTTATTTTAATACTATAGGAAAAAATGTCATAAAAAACGGATTTGGTACGTCATTATCTTTTGGAAACAAGAACCGTTACAGATGTATACCATACCATTGCTGGTGGGTTTTACTGAACCAATTTTAACCTGGTTCATATATCTTTCACTGATTAGCTAACATGCCTTCATATGACAAGAACGCAAAGTCGTTATACAAGGTTGATACAGACATAATTATTGTGTTTTGTGGGTATAATGAAAAGTGGGTAAGTGAGTGTGGTTTTATGTCGCTTTTGGCAATATTCCAGCAACATCACGGCGGGGGCATCAGACATGGGCTTCACACATTGTAACCATGTGGGGAATCGAACCCGGGCCTTCGGTGTGACAAGCGAACACATTAGGCTACCCCACCGCTCCTGAACCATCAGGCCCCTTCTGGGTTATGTTGATAGAGCATATGCCCAGAGAGAGGTCGATCCCTGGCATGTTACCAGCAAGCGGTAAAAGAGAGTTCTTGATGCCTGTGGGAAGACATGAGTTGGATAAAACAAGACCTGGTCAGCCCAAAGTCAGTATCATGTGGTTGGGAAGGGTATTCATGTACGCGGCATTTGTTCAGTCAACACGCAATCAGGTATGCGTAAAAGATACACTGTTGTTCCATGTGACCTAAATTATGTTATCTGCTGCTAGATTATTTCCAGAAAACACTTGAATGGCGCAGTGGCTGTTTACTCCTTGTGGTGGGAATCATGCATATGATGAGGACAAACAGGATCTATTCTGTTGTTTACCGTCGTCAACACAGTATAAATATGACTTGTGCAAGGAGCCCTTCATACCACACTCCAACACCTATTCAGCTCAACACACAACAAGACCAGGTAAGTTGTGACAATACTATTCTCAACTCGCTATGAAACCATGTGCTATCCTGTAGGCTTGACACGCCGTGGACCTGGGTTCGATTCCCAACATGGGTACACTGTGTGAAGCCCATTTCTGGTGTCCTCGCCGTGATTTTGCTGGAACTTTGTTAAAAGCGGCGTAAAACTCAACTCACTCACTCAATCATACGTAGGTTTAAATCCCAGATTACAACCAATGGTGCTTTATGTTCTGCCAGAGACATAAACGAGCGATTGGGTTCACTTAGTGAAAACAAACATTAAGTCGGGCATTCCTTCCACACCAAACTGAGGCGGTAGCGTAGCCTAGTGGTTAAAGAGTTCGTTCGTCAGACCCCGGTTCGATTCTCTACATAGGTACAATGTTTGAAGCCCATTTCTGATGCTACACGTCGTGATATTGTTGGAATATTGCTAAAAGCGGAGTAAAACAATACTCACTTACTCCACACCAAACTGACACAATTTTGAAGAACCGTTCCGAACATTAAAAGCAACCTCACTTTGCAAGTATCGTTTGGATAGTCTACAGTTGGATCATGCCTGCTTATGGAAAGACCTGCTTGTAGAAAATATAGGATCAGGAAGTTGTGATGCTTGAGCTGAATAACAATGTCATAGTAGAACACATTGCCGGTGCATTCCACCAGTCTTTGACTTGTCCTGATTAGATTTTGATTTTGATGGCTATCGGGATAAGTGCTATAATACTATATTTCTCCCCATATCTAATATATTATATTTGCTGAAGTTTCGTACTGTTGTATACAGGGATGTTTGGAGTATTCTAACATAATCACAGCGGGGGAGACCAGAAACTCACACTTATGGGATATCGAACCCGGTCGTCGTTGTCACACAAACGCTTCAATCAATTTGCTACAACATCACCTTTCACACACAATTGTATAAGACAGGTTTAAGACAGACGTAACCCTACCACCGTCTTTTAAGAGCACACTCTTTAACTGAAAAGTATGTCTGTTATCTGAATATAAATAACTTGAACCGTTTCTAAGACAGGTATTTGAAATGTGAACGATTTTATGTTGCTTTCAGTGTCTTAAGACGTGGATTCTGTTGATGTAATTGCAAAAATACCCTTAACTGAATTGGTTTCAAAATAACAGAACTTTACATATTTTGTCAACAGAAGCATCACCATGCTGACTCCGATGTACCTCCTGCTGATGCTCACGACCTGTTGCTTTACACAGAGTACTGTCGAGGAGATAAAGGAAAACATGAAATCCTATGCCAAGGGCTATGTCATCCAATACTATGTGCCTTATGTTAAAACACAACCCGATGAAGCTAAACTGAAGCTGTTGAAACACCTCGAGGACAACCTGCTCCTAATAACTGGTATGGATGACAAGGAGGGGGCTGAGGGGATGGAAACGCTGCCAAAAAGTCTAAGTAAAGTTTCCAAAGACATTGAAGAACAACTTGGACACAAAATAAGAGGTTTGTCGGCTACGGTTGACAGTAACGACGGCCTGCTTGTCTCCAATCCTCAGAATCTCATGAAGGCAGTTTCCAGAGATGTAGAGGACAGTCTGGAACATAAGATCAGAAGTTTGTCGACTAAGGTTGACAGTAACGACGGCCTGCTTGTCTCCAATCCTCAGAATCTCATGAAGGCAGTTTCCAGAGATGTAGAGGACAGTCTGGAACATAAGATCAGAAGTTTGTCGGCTAAGGTTGACAGTAACGACGGCCTGCTTGTCTCCAATCCTCAGAATCTCATGAAGGCAGTTTCCAGAGATGTAGAGGACAGCCTGGAACATAAGATCAGAAGTTTGTCGGCTAAGGTTGACAGCAGTAACGACGGCCTGCTTGTCTCAATCCTCAGAATCTCATGAAGGCAGTTTCCAGAGATGTAGAGGACAGTCTGGAACATAAGATCAGAAGTTTGTCGGCTAAGGTTGACAGTAACGACGGCCTACTTGTCTCCAATCCTCAGAATCTCATGAAGGCAGTTTCCAGAGATGTAGAGGACAGTCTGGAACATAAGATCAGAAGTTTGTCGGCTAAGATTGACAGTAACGACGGCCTGCTTGTCTCCAATCCTCAGAATCTCATGAAGGCAGTTTCCAGAGATGTAGAGGACAGCCTGGAACATAAGATCAGAAGTTTGTCGGCTAAGGTTGACAGTAACGACGGCCTGCTTGTCTCCAATCCTCAGAATCTCATGAAGGCAGTTTCCAGAGATGTAGAGGACAGCCTGGAACATAAGATCAGAAGTTTGTCGACTAAGGTTGACAGTAACGACGGCCTGCTTGTCTCCAATCCTCAGAATCTCATGAAGGCAGTTTCCAGAGATGTAGAGGACAGTCTGGAACATAAGATCAGAAGTTTGTCGACTAAGGTTGACAGTAACGACGGCCTGCTTGTCTCAATCCTCAGAATCTCATGAAGGCAGTTTCCAGAGATGTAGAGGACAGTCTGGAACATAAGATCAGAAGTTTGTCGACTAAGGTTGACAGTAACGACGGCCTGCTTGTCTCCAACCCTCAGAATCTCATGAAGGCAGTTTCCAGAGATGTAGAGGACAGTCTGGAACATAAGATCAGAAGTTTGTCGGCTAAGGTTGACAGTAACGACGGCCTGCTTGTCTCAATCCTCAGAATCTCATGAAGGCAGTTTCCAGAGATGTAGAGGACAGTCTGGAACATAAGATCAGAAGTTTGTCGACTAAGGTTGACAGTAACGACGGCCTGCTTGTCTCAATCCTCAGAATCTCATGAAGGCAGTTTCAGAGATGTAGAGGACAGTCTGGAACATAAGATCAGAAGTTTGTCGGCTAAGGTTGACAGTAACGACGGCCTACTTGTCTCCAATCCTCAGAATCTCATGAAGGCAGTTTCCAGAGATGTAGAGGACAGTCTGGAACATAAGATCAGAAGTTTGTCGGCTAAGATTGACAGTAACGACGGCCTGCTTGTCTCCAATCCTCAGAATCTCATGAAGGCAGTTTCCAGAGATGTAGAGGACAGCCTGGAACATAAGATCAGAAGTTTGTCGGCTAAGGTTGACAGTAACGACGGCCTGCTTGTCTCCAATCCTCAGAATCTCATGAAGGCAGTTTCCAGAGATGTAGAGGACAGCCTGGAACATAAGATCAGAAGTTTGTCGGCTAAGGTTGACAGTAACGACGGCCTGCTTGTCTCAATCCTCAGAATCTCATGAAGGCAGTTTCCAGAGATGTAGAGGACAGTCTGGAACATAAGATCAGAAGTTTGTCGACTAAGGTTGACAGTAACGACGGCCTGCTTGTCTCCAATCCTCAGAATCTCATGAAGGCAGTTTCCAGAGATGTAGAGGACAGTCTGGAACATAAGATCAGAAGTTTGTCGACTAAGGTTGACAGTAACGACGGCCTGCTTGTCTCCAATCCTCAGAATCTCATGAAGGCAGTTTCCAGAGATGTAGAGGACAGCCTGGAACATAAGATCAGAAGTTTGTCGGCTAAGGTTGACAGTAACGACGGCCTGCTTGTCTCCAATCCTCAGAATCTAATGAGGGTAGTTTCCAGGGATGTAGAAGACAGTCTCACAGAAGCAAAAGCGGGCATTGATCCAGTAAACAAAGAAATAATTGATGATGCCAAACTCTATAAGTTGTTGAAAAATGAATTGGTAGCATGGTTTCAGTATCATGTTGAACACGACAATATGCTACGTCATAACCTTGACCTCGATAATCTGATTGATTGGCTGACACTGGTGCACGACTCTCGGAGAAACATCAGCAAAGCAGCCGATTACTTTTACCAAGACTGGAACACATCGCTGCCCATCTTGAGTGATACTTTCTTGTCTCTTGATCCGTTGAAACCATTGTCAACATATGTATCCCTTTCCCTGATGGGTTTGACTGATAGCTTCATGAACCTGTACTGGCCTTTCCGTCGAGATGTTAACCTAATGAACCAGAGATTAGCAGTCAAAGGTTTCAGGGGCACAGAGGTTTCTGAGAGCGAAGCCAAGAAAGCGTTCTTTCAGGACATCCAACAAATTCAACCCATTCATCTCCCTGTGAAGGAGGATGAGATTGTACTCGTCTTTAATGATGAGGACATTGCAGATTGGTTGAACGTCACAGGAGTTCTGTCCCTTTCACCATCCTACATAACCTTAAAGAAATACATATTCACAGGGGAAGAACAAAGGAAGATATCGACCACTGCACATGCAGCATTCAGAATGATCAATAACACTCATCCTGAACTCTATGACGCAATGACTCAGATGATATCTTGCATTGCTTTTTATAAACAGGAAGACAAAATTAACTTAGCTGGAGGAGTTCGTTCAGCCCTTGGTATGTTTTGGATGGACCCAAGTGTTGGAAGGGAATGGAGCGTTCCCTTCATGGCTGAGCAGATAGTCCACGAGTTCACCCACAACGCACTCAACTATGCAGAATTTGTCCATGGAACGTACAACGATAAATCTGCCCTGGGAAAAGCTGAGGTGAAGTCGGCCATTCGTCTGGTTCCTCGTCCCTACGATAAGTCTATGCATGCAGCTTACGTGTCAGCAGGACTGGTAACCTTCCATTCCAGGACTGGCTATGTGGAAAGAGCAGCACAACTAGCGGAAACTCTTCCCCAAGCCGTCCGAGATCTGGCAACTGTGGATGCGGAGAAGCATGTGCTTGATGGGTCGGGCAGGGCAATAGTCAAGTTCCTCACTGACTACATGTACCTCACAAGACTCTGAATATTTCATACTGACTGTATAAGTACTGTCCCAATAAACAATCATTGGGTTTATATCATATTGATGTATTCTTTGTGTAGGGCCATTCAGATATTAGAGATGTTTTGGCGATTGAGTGAAATCTGCTCTTTTAAATACCTCTTAATAAATGACAGATGTTCAGTGTAGGCTGCCTGTTTACAAAATATGTGTTCTTTGTGTAGGGCCATTCAGATATTAGAGATGTTTTGGTGATTGAGTGAAATCTGCTCTTTTAAATACTTCTTAATAAATGACAGATGTTCAGTGTAGGCTGCCTGTTTACAAAATATACAGTCGAACACCGTTGTCTCGATATTCATGGGACCAAGAAAAAATATCGAGCTATCCGAACTTCGAGACATCCGAGCAGGGCATATCTTCACATATCACTATGAACGAAAACAAAACGCTTCTCAGTATGTTTTGTTTCAAAACTATAACCCGTTATCAGTAGTGGTAACAGTAAGTACTTCTTAATTAATCCTAATTAAATAACAAACATGTGACACCTTCAACTCAATTAGCCCTGATTAGTTTACACTACCGCATCCCTTGGATTCATGCCGCACCGTGTGTAAACGTGTGAAACAATCTCAGTTCAGAGGGATACTTGCCCATGAAAGGTAAGTGAATATCGAGATTCTTTGCAAATATCGAGTTAAAGGGTAATTTTGCTTGTTGGGACCATGAAATTATATCGAGATATCCGAAATATCGAGACATCCGTATCGAGTTAAAAAAGCTTGAATAATGATAAATTATGAAGGATTTTGCCGGGACCGAGATGTTTTATTGAGACAACCGAGATATCGAGTTATCAGAGTTCAACACAACGGTGGTCGACTGTAGATACTGTGAAATCATTTATCAAAAAAGGCTTGAAACTGTTGTCTGTCTTTCATACAGTGGATTAAGCTAGTCAGTTGTCACTGGTATTAAACACTCACTGAATAAGAGGAAACAATACTGTGAAAAACGTATTCTGTCCCAGCCAGCTGCCATCCAATGTCTGGGTGCCCTCCGTGGAAATGGTGTAGTTGTTCCCACTGACAGCCTAAACATAACCATTGTGTATGTCCATCATAATATTATTTTCAACTTGACTCTTACACTTGAAGACGAGTCATCGTATGTACAATATTTTGTAGAAGGATATATATTGCTGGGTCCGACAAATGTCCCACGAGGTGAGGTGAGGTGAGGTGAGGTGAGGTGAGGTGAGGTGAGGTGAGGTGAGGTGAGGTGAGGTGAGGTGAGGTGAGGTGAGGTGAGGTGAGGTGAGGTGAGGTGAGGTGAGGGTGAGGTGAGGTGAGGTGAGGTGAGGTGAGGTGAGGTGAGGTGAGGTGAGGTGAGGTGAGGTGAGGTGAGGTGAGGTGAAATTGGGTTAACGTCGTGCTTGAGATTATTTTGCTCATATGACGACGTGCATGCGTGTGTATGTGCGGCGGCTTGTACTAGCCCAGACTTAAGCTGGTTTTATAGTGCTAGCCCACTGAGATACCATGCCGCAGTGAAGCATGAATACCCCACTGAGACGCATTATACTGACTTCGTGCCGACCAGTCCTTGTTGTACCCATTAATGCCGCAAATCCCTCGAAGATCAACCCTACTTTTGAATACTGACACACCTTTTCAATATTTACAGTAGCTGAGAATGTAAAGGATCTGTTTGAGCTTAATCTAAGAAATAAACCAACATCACTTAAGTCAAACCATTTGATATTTGAACATTTTCCACTACTATCCCACACGACAGACATTAGGAATTATTCATTCCTTGGTACATGTTTGTTTTGTTACAACACCTGATGAAAATAGATACAGTTAACATATATACCTTCAGGGGATCTGGGAAAGTTTGAAATGAAAGTAAATGACATCTGGAGTCTACGTAGAAAACGAGATGACATGATCGACAACATCTGTGTACAATTTGGGGGTAAGTTGACACCCAGTAGGTTGTGCCTCTTTTTGCTGAGCTGCCTCTTTGTTCATATGAATCGGAATTTGTGCAAAAGTGTAGACATGGACATTTGGCCAAGGTGTATAACCTACCCTTCAGGTGTATCATTCATCTGATAGCGTTCAATAACCACCAAATTGCCGAATCCCTTCCATCGTCTTGGTCTGAGCATGCTACATTGAAACCGTCCGTTTTAATAGGAACGGCCAAAGACGATAGGTGTGTGTGATATTATTAGGGGGTGTGGGTGGGTGTGGGTGTATTGTGGTGGGGGTGTGTGTATTGTGGGGTGTGTGTGTGTGGGTGTGTGTGTGTGTGTGGTGTGTGTGTGTGTGTGTGTGTGTGTGTGTGTGTGTGTGTGTGTGTGTGTGTGTGTGTGTGTGTGTGTGTGTGTGTGTGTGTGTGTGTGTCTCTCGTCTAAAGCTAGCGCACCCTGATCTATGATCACTCGAAAATATGTTTCTGTCTCCATATGGAATATTTCAGGTATATAGAATAAAGAAAACGGTATATTTTGTCATGATTGTGTGAACAATTTGGATATGTTTCACCTGTCAGAAGCATGCACTAGTAAGGAGAATTCTCACCTTTACCCAAATCACAAATGTGTATTTCTAAAAACGTGTTTTTAAAGAATCCCAAATGTTGTTTTATTTCATCTGTAATAAGTCCCAAGATATTCACAAAGGACTTTAAACTGAATACGCTGAGGAAATATGAAGGAACTCAGAAACGTCAGACCAAATTATCCCCAGTGAAGTGAAATGTAAGCACAGAGTTTAAGTTTCAAGTTACATATAAATATACTGTTTTGAAATTCGTAGCTTTACACAACATTACCGCAAACCTTCGCCAACCGCACGTAAAATCTTTAAAGCAAGTCCGCTAGGTTGTCCAAGAATATACTCAATTGGACACATGAGAGCCTTATGTTAGAACGCGCATGCGTGTATTTATATCTGTCGCTGTTCATAGAACTATCCTTATTAAGAAATTCAATTTAGGTTACGCAATTCTGTTAGG